CCCCACCTGGCCAGGCGCGTCTCCAGGTGGCCGCTCAGGTACTCGGCCGGTGTCACCGTGTGACCGAAGACGGTGAAGCTGGGGACGTGGTTGAGGCTGAGGGACAGCTCGGACAGGGTCAGGTGCAGCTTGTCCATGCTGGGGGGACAATCGTGGTGTCACCCCAAGGGGACAATCACAGTGTCACCACACAACCACAGTGTCACCAATCAGAGTGTCACCAGACAAGCACAGTGTCACCCCATGGGTACAATAACGGTGTCACCAGACAGTCATGGTGTTACCCCAAGGGGACAGTGACAGTGTCACCAGACAGTCACAGTGTCACCAGTCACAGTGTCACCACTGGGGACAATCACAGTGTCACCAGACAGTCACAGTGTCACCCCAAGGGGACAATCACAGTGTCACCAGACAGTCACGGTGTCACCAGTCACAGTGTCACCACTGGGGACAGTCACGGTGTCACCAGACAGTCACGGTGTCACCAGTCACAGTGTCACCACTGGGGACAGTCACGGTGTCACCCCGTGGGGACAGTCACGGTGTCACCAGACAGTCAGGGTGTCACCCATGGGGACAGTCATGGTGTCACCAGTCACGGTGTCACCCCATGGGGACAGTCACGGTGTCACCAGACAGTCACGGTGTCACCCCGTGGGGACAGTCACGGTGTCACCAGACAGTCACGGTGTCACCCCGTGGGGACAGTCCCTCGGCGGGTGACGCTCACTTGGTGGTCAGGGTCCTGTCCCTCCGCTGGCTCTCTGTCCCCGGTCTGTCCCTGCCGGGGTCCCCCTTGCGGGGCGGCTGCTTCGGGCTCTTCTTGCCGCGGGCTCTGCTGATGGTGGCCGCGCAGTGCTTGGGCAGCAGCTGCGGGGTGGGGACAGGCTCGTGGGGACATGGGGACACCCCGAACGGGGCCACCAGGACCTCAGCCAGGCCACCATCCCCCAGGGCTGGCTCGGGGGACGCCCTGCCAGGTTTTGTCCCCATGGAGAAACGTCCTTGTCCCCAGGGTTCGGTGGGGACAGAGAGGCCATGGAGACCCCAAAGGTCCTGGAGACCCCAAAGGTTCTGGAGACCCCAAAGGTTCTGGAGACCCCTGGGGCCACCAAGACCCCAAATGTCCTTGAGACCCCAAAGGCCACCAAGCCCCAAAGGCCACCGAGCCCCCAGAGGTTCTGGAGACCCTTGGGGCCACCAAGATCCCAAAGGTCCTGGAGACCCCAAATGTCCTGGAGACCCCAAAGGTCCTGGAGACCCCAAAGGCCACCAAGACCCCAAAGGTCCTGGAGACCTCAAAGGCCACCAAGCCCCAAAAGCCACCGAGCCCCCAGAGGTTCTGGAGACCCCAAAGATCACTGAGCCCCCAGAGGTTCTGGACACCCTTGGGGCCACCAAGATCCCACAGGTCATGGAGACCCCAAATGTCCTGGAGACCCCAAAGGTTCTGGAGACCCCAAAGACCACCAAGACCCCAAAGACCACCAAGACCCCAAATGCCCCAGAGGTTCTGGAGA